AAAAACCTCAGGGGGGGGGCTCCTGAGGCCCCCCCCCCGCCAGGAATAGGGTTAACTCCCCTGACGTTGATACTGTCGCGGTGGCGCTCCCAATCTGCGCTGCGACCCGTCTCCCGCGGGCTCTCGGAGAGGGTGCTGTGGTAGCCAAAGCACTGCCCCCGGGGAGAGCCTTTAATCAACGCGCCGAGACGCCGTCGCCGCCGACGCTGTAAACGTGGCACCCGCACAGTAAACGTCCCCGCCGCCGCCGGCACTGGCCACACAGACTCCGGTGACGTCATCGCCGACCACCCCAGTGACGTCATCGTGCCGTGACCGGCGGCAGTCTGGGCGCCCGACACTCAAAGGTGCCGCCTGCCGCAGAAGGTGACGAGGTGCCTTGGATTTCTGCCTCGCACGCCCACTTGGTAGACGCCGCATGATAAATGCGGTCGAGTGCTATTTATAAATGTGGTATTGACGTGCGTTGAGGACCGACACAAATTATGCTGCACCTAACGTATGAGCTACTTTATCAGCTCCGATTTTAGACCGATTGGTAGTTGGTACAGCTTTTAATTTCGATTTTATAGCTCTACCTCCAAACACCCTTGGATGATTGGGATTTTCTTCTTCAAGTAATTTTGCATGGGTAGAGGTTACTCATGGCTTTCTCTTTGGAATATAAAATTTTTCGAGAGTTTTCGCCTAAATATGCTGCAAATATTTTTGATGTTATGACTGAAATAAGAAGCAATCTTAAAATCCTTAGACTACGCACGGCATTTGCCATCCTGTTCCGCTTAGGATTCTGAGCCTGGCCAGCCCGCCCAGCCAGCCCTGCCCTCCGGTACAGCCTGCCTTCCAGGCGCCTGGCTGGCATACTGTGCCGCAAGGCGCTTATGCTACGGAACGGAGACGGAATGGCCGTTCCAGCCCGCAGCCGTGATAGCGGTATTACAGGCCGAGCTGTGGTCAGATGGGGCTGAGATATTACCACCAAATACTGAGCCACTATCAGCGGTATCTGAGACTCTGTCAATGGAGGCTGAGCCAGTGTCAGTGTGACGGATTCACTTCTGTCAGTGGGATTGAAGGGCGAGCAAGCAGGTATGCGATGATTAACCATCAGACTCCAGTGGTGGTTGAGCCAGATACACACAGTAAAGACTAAGCTGCATTCATTGTAAATTAGATTTTTCTCATCAAAGGCTAAGCTGCAACTGTTACTATGCATGTAAGCTGCCGAGCCGCTATAACATGATACTCTTCACCTGAGCTACTGTTACTCTAGATTGAGCCAATGCCACTTAAGACTGAGCCACTGTCACTGTCGGCTGGGCTGCAGCTGGTTCGGTAGCCAGCTGACCGGACATCAGATCCGGTATACCGCGGCTGGCCGCGGCCGATGGGCCCTCAGAGTGTCCTAGCCGGCCGGTGTGGACCCGACTTTATGTGCGCGGCGGCGCGGCAGCGGCATACCTAGTGGTGCGGCGCCGACAGGCCGGATGGTCGCTATAGCCGCTCGTAAAGGGCCTTGTTCAGCGGTTGCTGACGAGATTGATGGCGCGCGGCCGCCTGCTTATAACCCGTGCATACGCCGCACCGGGCGCCCTGAAATGCCATGCATAGACCGCGCCGGGAGCGGTCGATCCGACTCTGAACCTCCGCAAATCTAACATATTAATGGGAAATTTGTGAAATTAATCGGCTTCATTAACGAAACTTGAAGTAAACCAGGTTTATTTGAAGTGTGTTTATGTTACTCATTAAATGCGTACCTACAGCAGGTTTAAGTTTTACCACATGCCGAGATATCCCTTTAACATTAGCACGTGCATTTGGGAAATGGCTTCGGCCCGCCTCGGCTAATGTTGAAGGTATTTGGGAAACGATTCGGCCCTAGGGCTTTTTGATTTTCCCAGACAAAGTTTTACTGAATATTCTGAGCGGCAGAACCAAATCCAAAGAAGATATTTTCGGATTGTGTGTTCACTAACAGCAACAGCAGAAGTGAGCAAAATTAAGTGACGGCGTTCTCACTTACTTTTGCTGTCAACGTAATTCAACTAAACAAGGGTAGGTATCGTTCCAATGCCAATGTATTTATTGCTGCAGAACATGGTCAGAGTACCTACTCATTATTACAACATAATGCACGCAAAAAACGAACACTTTAAATGCGCGAAGCATCTTAACGAGCCACAATGAAACATTTGGATATTGTTCCAGCTGGGATCTAAGACGCGTTTGATTCAGCGTTTCACCCAATTTTCGGTTTTCTTCACGGTTTCCTCACTACTGCTGGAAGTGGACTCCATATCTTTATTCTAATTTCTGACGCTTCACAATCTTCATCCTCAGCCTTTTCAAACCCTAAATAAGGGGGAAGTAGGAAATTTCATCTTTCATACTCAACGCAGCCCAATAATGAAAAACACAAAATAATCACGGTGACTATAAATATGATCATAGTATTAATATAATATTAACACAATATTAAGAATATAATAATATATATCAAATGAATATAATATTAACTGTTGCGCGGGTACGGCATGTGGTAAATCTCTTCCCAACCTTGGGCTGTGAAAATGCAATTTTATTCACCTCGGTTTTTGGCTACGGACCTCGTGCCTACCGGCACTCGGTCCTCCGCACAAAAACCTCGGTGAATAAAACGCATTTTCCCAGCCCCGGTCGGGAATATATATTCTTTCAGTTATAGGCCGCTTTAGCTGATCTCACTGCTTTTTTCGCTGTCCACTGACTGCCTGGGTTTTCTGTCAGAGTCCACGTCCGCGAGGCCCCGGGGGACCGGCCACCGCCTGCCAGCTCCGACACTGTTTATCTGAACCTCGACAGAATTCAATCGTGAAATCGAAATTACGGGATCGAGGCGAATCTGGCGTCCAGGCCTGGAAATCCCCCCAAGCCGGGCACTGGCAGTTTTCGTATATCATCGGATATTTGGAAATCCGGCTTTGCTGGCCAGTTTTATTTATAATCTGCACTGGATCGAATCATGGACGAAGCATGTCTCCTACGTGCTCTAGCCGCTTCATTGCAGCCAAGCTAGAAATGTTCTGTGTCGCACTGGATTCTGAGCATGTTTGGGATAATTCTGTTTGGAAGTATGTAGTATGAAAGAGAAAATGCATCACAGTGCTAACGTCTTAGGCAAGAAGAAAGGAGAACACACCTTACGACAAATGAGCTTACGATAGTCCGCGAAAGCCATTAGATCCGCCGATCATGATCCGTCTGGCCTCGGAGGGAGGGCCAGCTTGTCCATGGAGCCGGGGTCTTTATCTGGCCAGGCCAGCAGCTGGGACCGCAGCCAGCCCCATCGGCACCGACCAGCTGCGATCGTAAAGACGACCATCGTGTTACCGCAGCCGGGGCGGGCGACCATCGGAAATGGAGCCCGACATTACTGGTGAGATCTAATCACCGGGCGGCAGCGGCCGGATCCTTAGCTCGCCACCGGATCAGTGCGGTGACGGTGTGACGGTCGGCGTGACACGTGACGGGCCGTTACAGGTTGTGACGACGTAACACCTCCACCAGATATGAGGGCGCTGACTGCTGAGACTCTTCTTCGTGATTGGTCCTCATAAGCAGTGAGAAAGATGTCCTCTTACAATGAACACTGTCTTCTTGCATACCACTCGAACACCGCCCAGTCCCATTCAGTCGACCTTTGGGGCACCCGTGGCGCTGGGCCGCTACAGTTTCTGTGACAAAGCGCTCCACCTTACGGTGACCGTTCATGCAAATTCCACGAACGCTCGTGACCGGAATGGCTGTCGACGCTGAGGGAGATCGTCACCTCGTTCTCCGGTCGGTGCGGAGCGGCAGAAGCCACTGAGAGAGGCCGCCGCGCGGCGCTGATGTGTAATGCCGTTTCCCTGTTCGCCGGCTGAGTCGCAATGGCCTCTGCGGCGGGCTGGGCTATTGTGGCGGTCACAGAAAGGTCTCTGAGACGACGCAGGGCGGCCGGCCGGTCCCACCGCCGTCAGCCGCTCGCTCTCTCTGCCGTGACTGAGATCGATTGAACCAATATCTGGTCGGCGACGGCATCCAGGGGTCGGCATAGCGTCTCTCTCTCTCTGTGAGTCTCCCGCAGAGCCCACATCAGCCATCAAAGGATACTTTAATCCGGCTCATCGGGACCCCAACGGGTGATAATTGCTGGCTGGGAACAGTTCCATATATGACATCCCGACAGCATGTGACGCAATGCTATAAGGCAGTAGCACAAACCCTCAAAAGTGGCCATAGTTACATGTTTATTGCCGATATATGGTGCAATACTTTGGGGGCGCCGAATCGATGGCGTTGATTGGATACCATTTATAAATCCAGTTAATACAGCCGCTGCGTTGATGTAGCCAGCGAACGTCACACATCGGACATTTTTATGACATTGATTTATTGACCACAGCCTTGCCTGAAATTTCATTCCGAGCACTGTCATTCTGTCAGTAAACCTACATCAATCTAATATTGAGTTGTACTCATTGTTGTCTCGCAATCATCGATTTGTTCTGATCGATTTATAGCTCATGTTTTGTTTCACTGTTTTGTTTTGTTATCCACGCTGTAAGTTTATCTATAAGTTTGTTATCTACGCTATTATAGTTTGTCTTTGCTCATGGCCGATGCTTATGCAACAGGCACCGTTCAGCTTTGTAATGCAGTCATGGTCTAATAAAAATTCTAAAGGAATTCAAAAGTGAATTACTAAATTCAAAAATCAGCGGGCATGTGTGGTAAAGCTTTTATAGACGAAGGTCTCGGCAAATATACTCTGTCTCGCTACTTTCCACGTCTTCTGCGCTGCCCGTTTTCCTGTTTTGTCTGACCCGCCAGTCGCGCCAGTGTCCTGTCTGACCTCTTGGAATCACCTTTCTTACCTGACTTTTTAGTCTTCCCGTCAGTTTCTCCTGTCGTCTTGGCTCACCTGTGTGTCTTCCCTGTCTCGTCTGACGGCTGTCTGCCCCTGTCTCTGTTCGCAGACTTCCCGACTCGGCAGCTGCGCGCCAAGCCAGTCCGTCTCGATGAACTGTGCAGGGACACCAAGTTCACCAAGCGAGAGATCCGCATCATGTATCGCGGATTCAAACAGGTCAGCGACAGTGGACTGCAGCCAGGGTGGGCTATGGGCCTCATCGGCAAGGGTGGGCGGGCCGTGTCTAACAGGAGAGGGCAGACAGCGCCGTGTCTCACCGGAGGGAGTGGGCGGCGCTCTGCCTCATTTGTCTCAGCGAGTGCCTCAGCTGGTGGCTCACGAACGAGTGTCAGCTAGTGCCTTATGGATTTTGTCTAACAAGCGACTCATTGGCGAGGAGAATGAGTCATAAGCGGAACGAGAGCGAGAAGTAAACGAGACAAACATCTATCGTGTAGTATATAACTCAGCCTTACTAGTTAGTTGAACCTTTTTAGCAGCGTGTGTGTTCTGATTGACAGGACTGCCCAGATGGCATAGTACAAGAAGAGACGTTCAAGGAGATATACGCCAAGTTCTTCCCTTACGGTAGTGAGTATTTACTGGTCTTCTTTTTCTCCCTTTCTCCTTCTTTTTCCTTGTCCCTGATATATTGGTGGCCGATCAATAATCGATGGGTTAATAATTTCTTTGTAGATTGACGACTGTACACAAATGTAAAATATGTACCTACGATGATAAAGCATTAATTTATAGAATTCAGCGCGAACCTAAAACTTTTACGGTGTAGTTCGTGACAAATGAGATACTGGCGAAGAGGAGATGAAAGAGGAAAGCTAGGTGTTCTTTAAAAAAGGCATCGTCTGTAAAGGATCCAAGAAATTTACCATATCATTCTGTCATATTTCTCGGTGGTTCGTAAATAGGAAACACAATTACATTTCCATTTACTCTGTGCGCTCATCCCTGCAATCATAGCAGTACCCTACACAGTGTCTCACACATGTACGTTTACCTATTCTACAGCACGACAAACAGTCCTTTCGTTTGTTTCAGACTCCAGCTCATATGCTCACTACGTGTTCAAAGCCTTTGATGTCAACAGCAACGGTGAAATCGGGTTTAAGGTGAGACGTCGAACCACACTCCCGCTATCCCTATTCTGAGCTCCAGTCTTCATACAGTGCAGTCTCAAGTTTTGCCATCGCTTCATTTTCCATGGGCAAGAAACAGGATAGCTATTTTCTCGCCCACTAATGTTGAACACAATGCCACAGTCAAAGCAAAGCAGTACTGGGTCTATTTAAAAAATAGGGCAATGAGAGAGAGAGAGAGAGAGAGAGAGAGAGAGAGAGAGAGAGAGAGAGAGAGAGAGAGAGAGAGAGAGAGAGAGAGAGAGAGAGAGAGAGAGAGAGAGAGAGAGAGAGAGAGAGAGAGAGAGAGAGAGAGAGAGAGAGAGAGCACGTAGGCATGTGTGAGAAATGATAATAAAAAAAAATGATAAGAAAGAACGTAGGCATACACATAAATTTGTTCTTTTAATGTTATGTATCGGTAATGTATTAGTGTACTGGTGTTGGGTACTTTTGTTTTGCTGCGGACTTCTATTTGGCCGGCCTGAACCTATTGCATCCGTAAGGAAAAGCTTTTTTGAAGAAGACTGCTGCTAATCGTCGTCTCGATTTCCCTTGTGTATAATCCCTTGCCGTAGTACTTTTATTTCATCAATGCCCTAATGCAAACAACACATGCATTGCATCAAATAACACTGGTGCTAATATTTCTATTTAGCAAGACCATTTACTCAATGTGCATTATCTATTTTGATTTGATACACATATAAGTGCTTGCCTCACCATACTCAGAACAATTCCATGTGACCACTTGCTTTGATTACCGTGATAAGTTAGTTTGCCTCACACCTTGCCCTATTTTCCCTCGTTCATCTCGCCTGCCTTTTCTCTGATGCAGGGCCTATTGTTCAGTCTGTCCACCCCACTGCCCTCACTCAGCTCACATATCTCTCCCCTTCAGGACCTGCTGGTCAGTTTGTCTACCCTGTTACCCCCTTCCTCTCAGATCACCCCACCCCTCAACCCTGCAGGACCTGCTATCGACCCTTCTGCCCACCTTCACCCTACCCCTCTCGCCTCCAGGACCTCCTGGTCAGTCCAGTCCACCCTGTTACCCCCCCCCCCCCCCCCCACCTCAGCTCACCTCACCCCTCACCCGACCCCTCTCGCCTCCAGGACCTCCTGGTCAGTCCAGTCCACCCTGTTACCCCCCCCCCCCCCCACCTCAGCTCACCTCACCCCTCACCCGACCCCTCTCGCCTCCAGGACCTGCTGGTCAGTCTGTCCACCCTGTTACCCCCCAACACCACCACCTCAGCTCACCTCACCCCTCACCCCACCCCTCTCGCCTCCAGGACCTCCTGGTCAGTCTGTCCACCCTGTTACGAGGCTCCGTATACGACCGGCTCAGCTGGATCTTCAAGCTATACGATGTTAACGGAGACGGCTGCATCACGAAGCGCGAGCTGCATGACATCATCGCTTCGGTGTACGACATCGTCGGCCGCGACACCTCGCCGGTGAGGATAGGGCCAGAGGCTAGGAAATATTCATGATGAAGAGTATTATATTCAGCATGGACCTTGCTGGTGAGGTAGGATCCTGCGTTTAGCCAGATCCAGCGTAAGATATGCAGATCCAGCGTAGGATAGATGCATTGGGCACATTTCCGGTGAGGATAGAGCCGCCAGAGGTTATGACAGATCCATGGCGAAGAAGGTCAATGCCGGCGACTTCGCCGGTGAGGATTTATCCTGAGGTTAGGACAGACCCAGCGTAGGATGGATCCTAAATCGACCTCACCTGTTTATTAATTTCACTGCATAATTTGCATTAATTTACAAGACGCGAACCCATTTTCAGGATAACATCAGAAAATCGTCAATCTTCACTGTGCTCGGCTCTCACCCACCCTTCTCTCCTCCCTCCCTCCCTCCCTCTCTCCTCAGCTGGAGGAGAGACGGATCCGGGACCATTCGGAGAAGATTTTCGCCCGCCTGGACCGACAGGGCACGGGCGTCGTCACCGTCGACCAGTTCGTCGAGGCGTGTCTCAAGGTGCGCCGACCAGCCAGTACCGGTCAATATAGCGATGTGGTGGTTCACCTCAGATGCCCCGATGACTTTTGGTTTTCTGGGCCTCTCCTTACCTCTATAACCTCTCCTAGAGCTTCTTCCTACCAGCGAGCGGGGAGGAAGACCACAATTATCTTGTTTCGTAGACCTGGGTTCCTCAATTCATTATTCCTGACAGGGGCCGGGGATTTCTCAGTCTCATTCTTTCAGGGTCTGATCCGGGAGAAAGTACCCTGTACCCCCTGAACCCGCTGTAACCCAGCGGGGAGGAGTGAGGCAGGGATAGAATATGGCTGAAGTTTAGACCATATCCGGTCTCTGACAGAAATGGCCGACTGTGCGGACAAAATCTCCGGTGATGACAGCCGGCTGACTTCGTGTGGGATTGGCGACGTGTTAAAAGTGGTCTCACAACGTACAAATGGAATCCGGAAATATTAACGTTCCTTATACCTAGGCTTTCCAGGAAATCCTAACAAAAAATGTCGAAATCCTTCTGAGATGGATATCAAATCATATTTCACAACACATTGCTCACAAAAAGCATTCATCAACTTTCTTTGATCTCTGAATTTTTTCCTTTGGTATAGCTTTTCTACCTTGGTGACACTGAGATGCCACGTGCCGTCTGCGCAGGTGACGTCATTTCTCCGCCTCTGACGTCACACTTCCTCTCACAGGACGATGTCATATCATCTTCGCTGCGGGTGTACAGTTCAGGATTCGAGCACGTCTGTTGACCCGGCACCATCTTCCGTCTGTGTGAGGTGCCGGTCAGGTCATCGCTGGGTTATTGGTCTGCACGGCGACGAGCAGCGTTCGTCGGTTAATGTTCTTTCAATGTGGAAATGCCGCGCTAGCAGTCACGGGGAGCGCATGAGTGACAGGGCGAGAGAGAGAGAGAGAGAGAGAGAGAGAGAGAGAGAGAGAGAGAGAGAGAGAGAGAGAGAGAGAGAGAGAGAGAGAGAGAGAGAGAGAGAGAGAGAGAGAGAAAGAGAGAGAGAGAGAGAGAGGGAGGGGAGAGAGAGAAAATGAAGGGAGGAGAGAGTAGTTATCTGATGGTGTCGGCTGGCATCGGTCAAGGCTGTTGATCGCAGTCAGGCAAGCGTAGAGTAGTGGTCAGGAGCGATGAGCTCGAAACGGCAACGGCAGTTGTAAATAGCGCCAGAGGAGAAGCAGCCGTAGATGCCAGAATGTTCATGAGTTTTTCTACAGTGTAATTCTCAGCTAGGTGCGACAATTTTAGTGTGATGGGACATGTAGTCCGAATGATGACCGCGAGTGTGTGCGTGTGTGCGCGCGCAGAACGTATGGGGACATGTGCGAACAAATGTGGGTGAGTTGTAACGCGCGCCTGCTCCACGATAGAATATTGTGCGACCTGTGTTCGAAGGAGAGCAATACTAGCAGTGCAAGGATTCCTAGGTGATTTAGCTGCGCTTGCAATAGAAGGTGAATTACATATAGCGCGGCACGGTGACGGTGTTATACTCAGACATAGGTTTTGATATTATGTATGCTAGTGGCAAGGTGTTTGCGGTATTCACACTTGTGTTGCAGTTATAAATATTTATGATTAAATCGACGTTCATTTTTGGAGTTAACTCCTTTGTTGTCTTGAAAATCTCCTAAGTCATCTACTTATTACTTTAAGTCACAGTTTGATGCTTTAATTATTCGTTTGCTTTTAACACTTCGGTTACAAAAATGACATTCTAAGGCCACAAAGGACTTATAAAACATAATTCAGGAAGAATCTTTGCTGCGGTTTAAATTTGATGTTTTCTTTCGAAGTTGATTTGTCACTACATGAAGCCGTTTGTATATATGATATGACCTTGTAGGTACCTACCTAATACCAGATATTGTTCACTATCAAATTGTTATCGATATATGCGTAGTTACAGTGAATGATCGTTATAATGTTCCTTGTTCATGTAGGTAATACCTATCCGCATATAACTGTGGTTATTATTAGATGGAGATGCATTTTTAAGCCATCCAAGAAAACTAAGCCATAATATGTGAAAATAGATGAAGCCATAGTCTTGATCTAAAGATAAAACAGCACTGACCAACTCCACACTGATTTATTTTGACACATACTAGGCATAACCAAGAATTCAAATAAAACATGCAGGCACATCTTTAAAAGACGTAATCTGCTGGAAAAGGTATACGTATGATGTTAACTGTTTAGGTACGCAAAATGATTGCCCAATTAATTTTATCCAAAACATTGTTTCATGGCGCCAGGTTGTGCATAACTACATACAAACAATGCGTAGGTTGAGAAATTTGTGGATTTTACGCGGGAAATATCATACATGTTCTCCTTTGCACGTGTAGCTGTGATAATGCTTGAGATGTTACTTCTACAGTTGCTATGTTTGTCATTTAGACAGGGCTCATGTAATACACATTTTTCGCTCACCAAGGTACTGTAGTGGGCTTAGTTTCAACGGTTGCGATGAGGAACAGAATGTGATCGTTCGTTTGTAAAAGGTAGGAACAAAATGTTTAATGCATGTGTTTCAGATGGAAGTACCTATGTTTCTTATCAACAATAACATTAAAAATCAGTACCACATCTTCACCTTATCCGCAGGACAAATGAATGTTCCGCTATTGATTACTTAATTAAGAGAATAAGGGCAAAACATCCTTGGTTGTCTTCCTGATAGTGAGCCGCCTGTTTTACATTTATCATACACCTTTATCATCATATAAAGCACCTTTCAGCCCGGATTATAAGCTGTTGCAACGCAGCCCTCATTTTAGCAAGGATAAGCTGGAGGGGACCGACTTCATTTTCCCGTTTGCAACAAGCCACTTTGAGCCACTTTGTTCCGACAAAATCCATCCTTCATCTGGGATTTGGTCTCCAATCAGACCGTCATTGTGATGCATGCTGGGGAGGACGAGTAAAGAGCCCTGGATAGTGGTTTTACGCTAGGTTGATCCGACTCCGGCCTGTATTATGCGCTATCAGGGCGGCGAGGGCACGACCTCAAAGGCCACTAGTTGCTGCTCTGAGTGGTATTACTCTCTAGGATGGCTGGTGAGCCTTTTGATGCCCGAAAATGGGTGGACTTTATTTAAAGTCCTTAGTGCGCCATATACCTGTATAGACCTTTGACTAGATCTTGACTTTTAGACGTGAGAAACATGCATAACAGCGCTGAGATTTTAATTGCCTTATTATCGCTTCCAAAGGCTCATTAACTAGCACGAAAACTTATATTCACCAACATATATCGGCACCTTCGGCTGGAGACTCGGCGCTGCGCTGCGCTGGTTGACAGCCCGCTCCCTAGATGGCACCAGTGGTAAGCGCCTGATTACATGCTGTGCCGCATGACACAGGCCGAAGTCCCGCAATGTTACAAACGCCGCACTGTGATAAACAGCATAAATAATAAGTCTTATACATAGTTGATTTGTAAGTATCTTCATAGTGAAGCTTCTAAAACTGATCAATGAATTCCAACAGGTGTTTTTTTTCGGCAACGATCACCTGTAATCGCAGTTTCTATTAGATAAAACTTACGCAGGAGAAGTTACCCAACCATTTATAGATACAGGCTGTCACACTAAGCTGTCAAACTTCAAACTCGCCTTGCAATTTTATCTAAGCTCTGGGTATAGAGCGATCAATGTGGAACGGTTGGTGGGGTTTTCACATGTCCGAGGTTCTAGGTACAACAAAAACGTGTCCTGCACCGTGCTTGACACGAAAGTGTTTTCCCAGCTGTTAGGCTACACACATACATAATACTGTTCTCTTTCAAGAAAAAATTTGACTGCCGTGAAGACTGAATGATCGTCTGCCAATGTCCGGTGCCAATGGGACACACGACAATTAGTTGTTTCACTCAACACAGATGGCGCCGGTCCCGGGTTGCAGTCCTACGAGGGTTCGCTAGGTGGCGCCCAGGTCGAACGTTTCTCATTCTCTTGGCCATAGGTGGCGTCTGCAAGCTCAGCTGTATGTGACATAGCTATATAAGCAACAGTCTGGGAATTCTGAGGAAACGATTTTATTATGCGTCATGCCTTTCTTGAAGAGCGAAAAATTTCAACGTAATCATTTAATCGTTTCATCTAAGACGAGCATTTAGAGTGGTATTTGCCTTGGGGTGAGAGCAGCGGAGCCCGCGGAGGTCAGCTCACGAACTTCTCCAGTGACTTGGTATCAAACTTTCACATGTGCCTAAACGATGTACTATTGGTCTCAAGATAAGGGTCCAGGCGGCCTGTAGGTTTGATGCGGTGAATACCCTCACCCTCGCCACAGCTGGAGTGGGGGTAGGGGAGGGGGTGCGTCCGGCCCGAGTCTGACAGCGGGGTCGCTCGCCACAGTGTGGTGTCCTGCGGTGCAGTCGGAATCAGGCGGCATTATGCCGGCGGCGGTAACCGGTCGAAGGGCCTGGCTCAGTCGCGTCTCGAGACGATTTACCGAGCAGGCTGTCAGCGATAGATGGGAGGGGGTGTGGTCAGGGCGCTGTTTGATCACCAAATCAGCATGCTGTCAGTGTGCTGGCGTTTCTCATCTTCTCATTGGTCGTTGATGAACCACACGTGGTGTGTGCGATTGACCAATGAGAGACTGAGACGCCTGTAACTGGCTTCCATATATTGGAAAACCGACAGCAAGCGGAAAAAACGACAGTGCATGGGGCGCACTAGCTTTAAAGCTCACTCCGCGAAAGCATAACTTCCCATGGTTGAGGTTGACGAGTGTTACCTACCCCAGACTTCTTGCGATTGCTCTCAACAAGGCAACCATAGAAAGCTGAAAATAGCACACCTGACTTGATTCAAGCCGATTCTCTGGTGACACCAACGACCAATTACATTTTCAATTCTCGTCGAGTCACTGACCTTTGACGTCATAAAAGACTTCACTCGGTCCTAAAATATTGCGGCTTGGCAACTCCGTCATTGCTAGGTCAACTTCTGCAGATAAATAAAATTCACATGACTTCATATTCTTCCGAGACCTTGCAACTTTTCTGACTCGTTATTTTCTATAAAGTTCACGTAAATCTATGTCAATGACGTGACCTCACCATCGTAATTCAACAAGGAACAAGGGGTATATTAAAAGCTATTTTGATGACAAAAAATGATTTAAGACTATCGTTTGCACATGGAGTCGTGCTCGTATCGCTTCACTCCGTGCAAGATAGATGCTCAACTTTTGCGTTTTGAACCATGTGCAACGTCATAAACGACATTACATAGATATTGGAGCTTTTTTGTCATTAACTACCGTTCCAACTGAAATACAGGGTGATTATATATTAAACCGCGAATAGGTAGAACAAATCTTTTAAACGTCAAGCCGTTAGGCGAGACGTTTAAAATATTTTTTTCCACCTACGAGCGGTTTAATAATTTCATCCCGTACCGCCGATATCTTTCGGGTGCTTAATGGTAAAGAATTCATTTTATATAACAATACGACATATTTCAGATAGACGAAATGTCTACTAGACGTTTAACAGTTTGTTAATCGTCTAGACGTTTAATAAATCAGTTACACGACATCTGATAATTTTCTCTCTTTACACGTAAAGCAATTGTAAACGCTGTCTACGGTGTGGGATAACCGCATTTAAACATCCACGCGCTATCCCCTAAATTACAGGGTAATCAATAAAAGATGACATAAAGTCAGTCCTGCCAGAGGCATAAGACATAATGCATTAGCAGCTCATCGTTGGAATGATAAATCTTAGACATTTTACATCGCACAAACAGAAATCAGTTGTGTCGCTCGATGAAAGCTTGCTTCTCCGCGCGGCAGACCTCGGCCAAGACCTTCGCTCCGTGCACATCCTTGTATGGAATCAACTTTTGTGTATTCTTCGGCGAAGGAGCATGTATTCTTCTTGCGGGTGCTTGCTGTAGCGCGAGCCACTTCTCGTCACTCAATATTACCCTTTCGAACCATTCTTCCGCTTCACTGAGCCGTGAGCCAAAAGGTGCACGCGCTTCCAGCCTCGACACCATGCTGTCAGGGTAGATGACGGTCATTAGGATCGGGCGATAATGTTTCCAGTTCAGTTTCTTATTGTGGAGGATTGTCCATCTTAGAGATGTCAATCGAATACCAACTTTTTGGCATACCGATACCAAACCGATACCAACTTGGTATTTGGTGTTTCGAGGCTAACACATTTGGTATTTTGTTGGTAGGTATTGTGAGTCCTCGCTTATGTAAAAGAGACCGTGACTTTGGTAAAAAGTTGGTATTTCCCTGATATTCCCAAGTCGGTTCGGTTTCGGTATTTTCCCACGGTTCCTGTTGGTATTTGGTTTGGTATCGGTATCACAACTTTCTGTAACTGACATCATTAGTCCATATATTTAAAAATGCCTTCCCAGGGTTTCTTAATCCATTGCGAACGTGAATACTGGACAGATTATTAAAGAATTGCTAGACTCTCATCACCTTCGAGCAACTGAACAAGATCCGCACCCCTTGTCACTCTGCAGTCTGGATTTTTCATGCTTCATGGACTTCACCGTTTAACCTCAAGCAACTCAAGTTGCGGAGCGAACTCAAGAGTCCAAGACCCTTGATGAACTGAACGCTGCCGTGTGTCGTCGAAGGCCTCGTCTGCACGATGGCCGGCGATCATTTGGGGCTCCAGCGGGGGCTTACTATTCGCTAATGAACACCCTGCACCTGTGCACGTGACCTGACCTCAGAGGTCACATGTTGCTCTGACACTTTTTTAACTTGATTGTGAATCGCTGGGTGTTGTTTTTGTTTGCAAGGCGTTTAGCTTAATTATGGGTGAAACGGCGGCGGGGTCCAGCACCCCCCCCCCCCACTCTAGACCCCTCTCGGTTTTCAGAAAGCCGATAGGTCCGACGACTGACGAGGAATAACGGATACAACGATACAACGACAACGAGACACGTGCACTCTTGAAATATGTCTGTTCCGTGTGGATTTGATTTTTGAGAACGTTGGCCTTGTCTTGTCTATAAGCTGAAATCGCCAATCAGCCTTATGCATTACCTAGCTGCATCGCTTCGAGTCCCATCGGTGGGAATGGCTTCTATACTCTACACTATTCGTGCTTTCTTGGAATGATATCACGTTCGATAGAAGTATGAAGCGAACACATAGCGAACGGGGCGAGAGTAACACTTAACATATTGTTTACTGGTTAACCCTACCGAAGCTTTAACAATGCAGTTTTTGAAATGAACTGTTCAACAGTTGTTCAGCGCAATAAACGAAATTATATGAAACAACTTAGGAAATTAAAAGTTATGAAGGTTGAAATATGCAACCGTTAAGATAATGATATAAATAGTGATTAATGACGTTGTCGGCGGTATGCCGATCATGACAACATTAATTGCTACGTCCTAAACAAACTGCCACGTCTTGCAGTCTAAGGTGAAACTGC